CACAAGGCCACAAATAGGCTGGATATACCTGAAATGCAAAGATATATGAAGATAATGTCTTTGAGAATAAGAGTAGAACATGTATGCTATGCAAATAAAATAACTTTCAATCAAAAACTAAAAGGGGAGGGGTTAAACCTGGGTAGGAAAAAACATGGATACAGGGGAAGGTGTAATGGAATTCATAAATTAGAAATACAAAATATAGTAGACTGCCAACTACAGTATGTTAAGCATCAGACCAAATGCCCTCATTCTTGTCATTTTTGACATTCTTAGTTCTGACACAGGGATCATCCCTTAACATTCTATGGGAAAAAAGGACCTGATACTGTCTGAAAACTTGAGGTAGCTAAGAGGATAAACTGGGTGCTGGCAAATACTTGCCTCTAATCTTGCCTAAAGCATATAAACTCAGTATGTGGCCTTAGGCCTCAACCTTACATCTGCAAAATGGGGACATAAGTACAGGCTTGTCTTGCAAGACAGTTGTTAGGGATTACTAAAACCAAATGCACAGAATACTTTGAACACTTGAAGGTTGATCATGCTAAGAATAATTATTCTTGTTTGACATATGAAATCTACTTTCATGTGCCTCTGTGTGTGCATGTGTGTATGTAATGTATTTATTTATTAATTCATGCAACACGGACAATCTGATTTTCAGTCAAAATCAAAATAATATATAATCGCCCCTCCATTCTCACAGACTTGAGATCCACGGTTTTGAATATTCATGGAGGAGTGACCTCTGTTAAGATTAATGGGGCCTGAATATTGGTGAGTCTCCATTTTTGTGGCCGGGGGGGTGTCTCCAGACTGCAGGTTCAATGTTATTTTATTTATAATTAAAGGAAATCACTATTCACATGAGATTCCCACTCTCACACATTCAAGAACTAACAATATAAAAGGTGGGAGCAGACTTAAAGAGGTTTTCAGAGGGAAATACTGTACCAATTCCACATGGCTCAGTAGATGCCTTGGTGTGGCCAGCTTATGCTGAGAGGTCAGGTGAGATCCTGGCAGCGTGCTTGTCTGATCTCAAATAACACCAAATTGGGCAGGCATATTTGTAGGGCAGAACCTATCCTGTGGCAGGTTTTGGGAAAGGAAAGGATTCCAGGATGGAAGAATGAGCAAGGGAGTTGAGAATGGCTGGACTATCAGTGTAAATGTCCTTGGACAAAGGAGTATTGCTCTCAGAGGGGAGTGTACTTGGATTTCTGTTTATGTGGAAATACAAGGTCTATCACCCATCAAAACTCCTATCAGTGCAGAGATTATGCAGATTCTGATCTTGATCAATCTATCCTATTTACATGCTCTTGAGCTCCCCCATATTGAGCCTACCAGATTTCCTTATATGGCAAGGCAATTTCCTGCACTGGGGCACCCCTGCAGCTACATGCTCCAGTCATCCCTTTTTGATATCAATTTGATATTGGCACAGAGAAGGGGTGCAGAGAGCTAGATCTTGGGGGTAACACATGCCAGACAAAGAAAAATAGTCTAATACTCATTATTAACAGATTATTTTAAAAAGCTCAAAGTAGTGGTGTGGTCAGCCAGCTTTAATTGGACATCCCTCTCAGGCTCCCCTATTCTCATCAAGCTTAGCTGCAATACTCAAGATAGATGATGGAAAATGGATTTCCTGAATAGTAATGTTCCATTTTTGCTGCAGAGTCTTTTGACTCTGTCTCTGTTTCAGTCTTGAATAGGCAATTATTGTTGTTGCTATGCCCTCAAGTAATTTCTGACTTATGTTGACCCTAAGGCAAACCTATCATGAGGTTTTATTGGAAAGATTTTCTAGAGGAGGTTTGCCATTCATTACCTTCCCCTGAAGACGAGAGCATGTGACTCGCCCAATTTCACCTAGTAGATTTCATGGCCAAGCGGGGAATCGATCCCTGGTCTCCAAAGTTACAGTCCAACACTCAAACCACTACACCATGCTGGCTCTCCTGAATAAGCAATGGAACATATTAAACTATAGACTGACTCCTGGTGGAAATGAACATTGCTTTCTTCATATGGATCAACCAAACTGCCTGTTTTGTTTGATTTTGGTTTTTTGATTCTCCCTGGAGTTGTGGCTATTGGGACTGTGGTGACAAGCACTTGTGCTTCATAATTTTCTACCACTGTTATGGTGGAGCAACAATGAACTTAAATAACATGTCAATAGAATCTATATATTTTATGATGCCATCATGGTGCAGACTTAGGAAGTCAGATTTACAGCTGAAACTTGCACCAATGGCAAGGAAGAGTGTGCAGCCCTTAGCTGACTCTCTTCTGTGACTGATATTACTCCTACTATTGTTAGTAGTCTAAATATTTATTTAGCACCCCATGTTATGTTACGGCTATGAATATTTGCCATCTGTATGCACGCCTACTCCATTAGCATGGGATCTAGACAACACGTTTAACTTCTGGATTGCTGAAGGGCTGTGTGTCTTAAAATATATTTCATTTCCATTTTGGATTTGTAAAAAGAATGTCAGCAGCTGACAAGTCAGAAATGGCTTGGAGGGGTGTGTGACAGCTTCAGGTAGTTGAGAAGCACAGAGAAGGCTCCATCCCTTCAGGTCTATCAGACCCAAAAGCTACTGTCACATTTCCCTTTCCATAGCTCCTGCCATGCTTTGTTGGTTTTATGTACCTTCAAGTCACTTCTGACTTAGGGTAACCCTAAGGTAAACCTAAAGCCAGTGTGGTGCAGTGGTTTGAATGTTAGACCAGGGTGCTAATTTCCACTCAGCCACAGAAACCCATTGGGTGACCTTAGGCAAGTCACTCAGCCTCAGGTGAAGGCAAATCCCTTCTGAACAAATCTTGCCAGGAAAACCCAGTAACAGGGTCACCATCAGTTAGAAGTGACTAGAAGGTACACAATAACAACAACAACAACAATAACAACAAGGCAAGCCTATTACTGGGTTTCCTTGGCAAGTTTTGTTCAGAGGGGCTTGTCCTTTCCGTTCCTCTTATGCTGAGAAACTGTGGCTTTTCCAAGGGCACCCAGTTGGCTTCCATGGCCAAGTGAGGATGCCAACCATGGTCTCCAGAGTCATAGTCCAATAATCAAACCACTAAGCCACACTGGCTCTCTGTCACTCTTTATGCCATCCCATTTTCCAGAGGGTGTTTGTGTCTGTAAGGGAGAAAAAAACAATGCAGCAAAAATAGAAAATGTGGCCAATTTTGTGGTCATTATTTAAAGAAAAAATGTGATTTTGTATTTCTATATAGCCCTTTGTCACACTGTACATTTTGGTAGCAAAATTGTATCCCCAGCATGCCGATACAATTTCCCTAGATTTCATTAGACATTTAGGAAACTGTGTTTTGCTGCATCAAACCACTAGTACCTTTAGCCCCAGTATGGCCAGCTTTGACTGGCAGCAACAGCTCTCTACAAAATTGCAGATAGGATGTTCCCTGGTCTGATTTCTCCAATGGCCTCCTATCCAAGTACCAAGCAGGGCTGATACCACTTAGCATCTGAAATTGTATGAGACTAGTTGGGTTCAGTGTGACAGGAGGTAATAATTTGATGATATAGTGGCACAATTAAATATTAACTGAGAAGCATCAGAAAAACGGACTCTTTTGGAATATGCAACTTTTCAAAGTATACAACAGCATAACACACACACCTCCTAATGCATCCTTTCATATGAACTTGGGCAAAACATCTGGTAGTATGAACAGAAATAGGAACTTGGAGCCTGAAGTCATTTGAAAATGCAACCTTAATTGACTTTTAAATGGGGGGTGGCTGTGAGCGACGTGCAATATGAGATCCATGAAATCTACCCCCAAATGTGCATCTTACATTTTACACCATAATTTAGCAGCCAAAATTGCACATGACACAGACAAATGTACACTCATGAGCACATCCCTGTTTCAAAGTGACGTGGACACAAAACAGCTTATGAAACTCACTAAATTCAAATGGCAGTTACAGTTACACAGAAGAAAGCCATATATTTCCTCTTGCATCCCATTACATAAGTAGCTGGTTAGGCCAAGAGAAAAGCCACATGCATAATTTTAAGAGCGCAAAAGAGAGAGAATATGCAGAACAGCTTAAATTAAAGCTTGAGGTTTGATGTGGAAGAGACCACATATCTTGCTTAAGAAAACGTGAGTTCCCTACTTATATGTCATAAACCCCCTTTTGAAGATGATAGAATATAAATCCGGATGAGTGTTCATCACAGAGCTTATCTCGCTAAGAGCTACCATATCAATATACATTTATTGCAACACACTATAGCAAAACTCATTTTCTCAGAAATAGTCACACAACACAGAAAATGCTGGAGTCTTTTGCATAAATTCCTTCTGAATATTAATACCAGAGTAGAATTTCTCACGTACATTGCACATTCACAGTAGCTTAGCAGTTACATTGACTTCCACTGTTGAATCATCAGATCTAGATGTGGTTGGGGGAGGGCCTTTTGGATGCATAATTCATATTCATATTAATTGGAACTTAAAATCATAAAAGCATCTGTCCAAGATCCAGGTTGAGCATGACATCCCAAGACATCTTATCAGTTGGTTGCTAACTTTACTGGTCCAAAACCTTGTGTAGTATTACTGTCACACACTGTGTCCCATTGTTACTTGGCCATATGTATCCTATATATATGGGCACATGCCAACTGAAGAGAACTGTTCATGTGTTTGATGGGGCATGCTACTCACCACATGCTTCTGCTGCAAAAAACAAACAAACAAAAAACCCTCTTAACCCTGTTAACTTTTAAAATGCTACAAGACTCTTTATTGCTATTGACATTCACTTAAATCTTTTGTTCATAATCAGGTATCCTGAGATAACTGCCTTGTAACATGAAACATATCATTTTACATACAGTGGTTGCTTGAACATAACAATAAGGAGCCTTAAGCAATGAGGGGCTCTTAGGCTGACAGTTCTGTGTTGAATTTGCCCCCCTCAATTATTTTATAGGCTCGCAGTTCTGTGTTGAATTTGCCCCCTCAATTATTTTATATTAACTAGCTGATTTTTCCTCACTCTCATATCATGTTGTACCTCTTCTTGCTTTAGCTAATGGCTAAAAGAAGCAGTAACCAACAATGGGGCAGAAAAATGGATAGCATGATGACATCAAGAAAGTTAAGTTTGATGGCAGGTTATGGAGCAAAAAGTTTAATCCTCTGGTGCTATTTTTGGTGGTAATCTGATGTTTTACTTAATGCATAGTTCTATTTTCAAAGCTTCTGGGTTCCACACTGGGGTAATTATGAATGAAATTTTGCTTTGTCCTTGGGTATGCAAAAGGATTGCGTCCGCCTAAAGCCCCGTGTGAAAACGCCCCTGGATGCTGACATTGCTTTTTGTACATGGGTAATTATATCCAATTATAAAATACTTAAGAGTCCAAAAGTTGTAAAGTGCACATTCATGTAGAGACTATATTGAAAAGGTCCAATCCTTTTCACTGTAAAGTGCACTCTGTTTCAAATGGAAAGACATCAAAAAGCACAAGTGAAAAGCATGCACTCAACTACAAAAGACAACATAAGCAAAACCCCTTGGCTTGTAAGTTTCAGATGCAAGTTGTCACTAGCACTATACCACATGACATTAAGATTGCCCAAAGATGACAAGCACCCTATAGCCAGTAGGGCCTAAATACCCTAAGGGTCCAAAATACACATGCCAGAAATAATCCAGTTTGAGATTACTTTAACTGTCCTGGCTCAGTACAAGGGAATCCTGGGAACTGTAGTTTTTTGTGGCACCAGAGCTATCTGACAGAGAAGGCTAAGTGGCTCACAAAGCTACAGTTCCCAGAATTCTCTAGCATTGAGTCAGGACAGTTTAAGTGGTTTCAAACTGGATTATTTCTGCGGTGTATTTTGGACCAAAGACACCAGATCTTGTCTGATCTATGTAGGGTCAGCTCTGGTAAGTATTTGGATAGGAGGTGGCCAATGAATGCTAAGTTCTGTAGGCTATATTTCAGAGGCAGAAAATGGCAAACAACCCCTGAATATTTCTTGGGGGGGGGGGGAAACCTCTATGAAATTCATGGGGTCGCCACAAATAGACAAATAGAACTGAAGGCTGAACTGAACTGAACATGCACACCATATTTAAGACTAGGGTTATTTGTTTTGACTATGGACAGAGCATCCATATCTGAAAACTGCACTCCTACGGTGTCACTTCTATAGATGCAAGTGGCCATTGGGTTAAATTTCCCCATACAGTTTCTACTGAATTGCTTGGATGTGTCTTTAGGGGTTACAGGTGCAGAATTATCTATGTCCAGTAGCAATTGTACTCTACACTTAAATATCTATTCAACTGGAACCAGGTCTGTCAGCCTCAATATACAAAATTGTGTATTGTTTCTAGTAATCGCCACAAAATCTTTTACTAAAGGGTGTGTGTGTGTTATGCTGTAGGGTTTTCTCAGTTCAGTTTAAAAAAAAAAAAAAGACCACACTGCTCATTAAAATCATTTGCAAGTTTTCATCCATACTAGTCTGTATCATCAAACGGTGAGGAAGAAACACTGTAAAGACTACAAAGATGTAGAGTAGCAACAATACAGCTGAAGCACAGCATGCCTTTATATCAGTTTAATAACATTCCTCACTGTCAGAGAGTAGCTATTAAGCACAAAGAAAGAGCAGCTAACTTTCAAATGTACTACCAGCACACTCCCCCAGTGTTGGATTAATTTTTAGATTGGGGTATATTCTGCCACATTATGTTAGATCAACTGACATGCTATGATAGAGGCTAATGCACCATGCTAGAAATATGAATTTAAAACAATAAACCATTTGTCATTTGGTTCATTAATCACAGTGGCTGTTTCCAAGAATAGAAATGACATTTGGGGAGATGAGAAGCTGCATTAGGTAGTGTGGCACAGAATCATTTTTAAGCCAAGCATT